AAGTCCATTTATAGTCACCCATTCCTTCAAAAGCCATATTACTGGCTTTAAATGATTTTATAATCTCCTAATTAATTTTAAGTTGAATTTTTTTACATTTTTGGTTAAAACAGACTATAATTGTTACAATTTTGCAATTGAAAACAAGAACAATGGGAAAAGGAAAAGAGATAAAAAAAACAAAATAAAGAATAAAATATTAAATGGAAAAGAATAATAATAGACATACTTGTCCTTATCCTTAAAATTAACTTAATAATTAACACATACTTTTTAAAAAAAAAAATTGTGTTCAACCAAATTCAGTATCTTTGTGTTTTATCCTATGGAATCCTAAATCCTAATCCTAATTCTATTGGTCTTTAGACCTGATTCAAACTAGGTTTTTTCTTTTGTCTACTGTGTACTTATACTTTTCTTTATATCCTACAGATATGTTTAATTTATCATTTGTTCAATTAATTTTCAACGGATTTATCTTGTTACGCAAACTCAGGGAACTAACACTTTTGTCCAAGCCCCAGCTACGACGGCAAATGACGGAAAAGAGAGAAATGCATGATAAAGAAAGATATTCGTTTTACCACTTTATACATTTGGTGCAAGAGATGAAAATCTAAGGGGAATTAAAGATTTTTTACATTTGCTCTCTAATTTTCTTTCAACCAAACAAAAGAAATGTTTCTATCTACCTTTGTCCACCTCTAACCAAACAATGTTAAAAGTCCACAATATTGGTGGTCTATTAGTTTTCCCACCATTTAAGTCATCTTTTTCCAGAAAAAGAAGAAAGAAAAAAAAAAATCAAAGTAACATCAGTAGCTGCCAGCCTCTTACTGCATTGCGAGGTCAGAATATTAGGTTACAAACGACGGCATATAATTTGAACTGTTCTACGCCAGCACTCCTGGACGAATTCCCAAAATTGACCTTATTAGCCAAGCATGCTTCATTTTTAGCAAAAGTAAGAAAAGAATAATCATCAGATGTTTCTCAACAATGATACAACACTATGAATCCCGTTTGAATTCCATCAAAAGTTCTTTAGAATCTTCTCACTCGAAACTCCATCCGCTACAAGTATTGAAGTCACTTCCTGCAAAAGCAGCTCAGCAACATTTGTTACTCGTGCCCTTATTTAGCAACATGCAGCTTACATGTCATGTCTTAACTCCCCAACACAGTTAAAGTGCAAATTTACAATCCAAGCACAAAATAATAAATAATAATAATAAAAAACAATTTTCTGCTGTTGTTTACTCCCCATTTGTAAATTCACTACGGCGACTGTTGCCATATCCTAGGATATGCTAAGTCCTAACAATTCTGCCTTCTGCTGTAAGCTTCTAATGTCAGCCAACATCCAAAAACCTAGTCATTCATTCCATGGAGATCAAGCATTTATCTTCTCAATCAGTTCCATCTCAGCCATGCATTGTTTAACAGATAAGATTTCATTTCAATCAGAAGCTCGAAGTAATTGAAGAATGCAAAATCTTAAGCCCATATTCACAAATCCATACAAAAAATTAAAGGAGGATGCGAGCAACATCCCCTCCAAAACATGTGTCAGCTACTTGATCAGCTCCCAGCAGTTAATACCATACATCCTCGTTTTCTCATCCCTTTGAATCCTTGGAATTTAGAGGGAGCCAAGATCTTTCATTCTCTATGATCTTCCAAATCTACTATAAAAAAACACACTCATACCCAATTTTCTCCTTTCTCATCAACCTATCATCCACCAAAACACACATACTAATCAACTCAAACCATAGTTACTAATATCATATGAAATATGATACATATCGTTTGATATGTAACGATAATAATGAAAAAAAATACAAATCGATATACTATAATAGTATTTGATCAAGTATCGAAAGTATATCACACAATATACAATACATATACAATACACTTTTTATAAGTTTTATCCTATTCAATTACTCCAAAACCCATTTATTTATTTATGATTTTTAGATTGAAACATGAAAAGCTATTTTTTACAGGTTTCAGTCATTGAGATTTAAACTTTAGACAAAAAGATACTAAAAAAATTGTATTCCCTTTTGACTTCAAAATGTTAAATCATTTTAATTTTTAATTAATAAATTAACATGAAAAATACATTTCTTATTTAAAAATATATATTATTAAATAACATGTTGAGAGTTAAATAAAAATAAATTATCTTTTCAATTTAAGCCATATAATCTTCAATTCTATTAATAAATATACCATTTTTTATTTTTTTATTTTACATGTATATATGATATTTATAATTAATTTGAAAATTTTTTATTGTATCTTATGATACAATACGATATGATATTACTTAATACTTAAAAATAAGATTTTGATAGACGATACAATCTAAATTGAACAACTATGACTCAAACCAAGAAATTTAAAACAAAAAAAAAATCAGACTCAATTACTCTTCGAAAAAACAGCACCTCTGCAAAACATTGAAGGAAGAAGCGCAACAAAACCCCTTCAAGACATGTCAGCTACTCGATCAGCTCACAACAATTAGGATGTATACAACCCTGTTTTCTCATCCCTTTGACTCCTTACAATCAGAGGGAGCCATGAACTTTTCCTGCTCTTATTATCTTCCAAATCTCCTATAAAGCCATCAGCCATAAATACTAATAAACCCAAAAATATTACACGACTACTATTAGAAAAAAACAGCACCTACAAATTTTACAAGGACTATCACTAACTTGAACCCAATTTATTGTCAGCAACAAAAAAAATTGCTCCTCTGATCTTCTATTAGAAACACGTACCTTAAACAGAATACTGATCAGCTAATAATACTAATAACCCAAGAAACCTAAGAGACAAAAACCCAACAACCAAAATTCTACATATTTGAGCCAAAATACAGCCTCAACTCCTATTAAAAAATTTATATCTTCCACTTCTATTTGGTCAGTCTTACCTCTGACTTGACTATAGCCAAAAATACAGCCTCAACTCCCATTGCTAGTTGCAGTGAGAAGATCATAGAAGAAATTGGGAAGACATGTTGCAGAGTTTGGCAGAGAAATCAACCATAACAAATTCATTCATTTCACCACAAAACTCTCCTTATCACCTTGCTTATACATGAAAGTAAGAATGTTGGTGGAGAAACTGAGGCCAAAAGGTGTGAGTCGTGAGAGACATTTCATATTAGAGAGAGAGAGAGAGAATAAGTTTGTAAGGAAAGAAGTTTGAGTTGCAAAAAAATATATATCCAAGACATTCAGCTGAAGCGAACAGGAAGCAAGGAATAAAGGACATTAGGCCATTTTGATTCAACTAAAATATATTTTTCAACTCACAAACTAAGGCCCCCAAATTTTCCATATTGTATCTTAAATAACATGATAACTGATATATAATCATTTATCAATTACTATAGAATCTTTTCATTCCAATGTAATTAGTTATATTTTCACCGTTAACAAATTTTACAAAATCAATACAGTTAACTCTGCTTCCTCCAAAGTAGCTTTTTTTATGATAACAAAAATCCATGAACATTTTACTTTCTAAAGCAGGGCAACCTTTTGCAAGGATACAGAACACCCAACGTTGCTCAAGCATATGTTCATAATAAATAGAAAAAATCCAATTACTAGGTCAAGCCTCCTTAGAATCAAAATCAAGAGTCAACCATCAAAGCTCAAATATCAAAACAATGTCTACCTCCAATGTAAATGAGAAAATGGAACTCATTCCTGCTTCCTTTTCCCAATTCCCTCTGCAAATTCAACCCCTTAGTCCTTTATCATGTCCCTTCCCCATTAGCTTTAATATTTAAATCTCCTTTCTTTTCATTGCTTGGTTCTTATTTCTAATTGTATCGAGGGTGGATGATTCGTAACAGGTTGCTATGGGGATGAATTTGAAACCTCCAAGGTAAGTGCACCCTATATTGTTGCATGCGTCCCCCATGCGGGATTTATTTATTTATATATTTTGAGGAGTTTCATTTGTGTTGGCTAGCTATCAAACCATATCAGTGTTGAACACGAAAATGACACCACACAGGTAAAGTGTTAAGCAATATTTGTGCTTCATAGCATTATGTGCATAGTTACTAATATTAATGCCTCCCCTCGAACTGTGAACCAGATTTTGGGATCTAGATTGCCATACCTTTACATTCTCGGAACTCTTGATGCACGATCTAGATCCCTAAAATTGGGTACTAAAATAGTATGGATACAATATATGCGTCTAGCATGGCACTAAAAATTAGGACAAGGCATCTTCGTAAAAGCTATTCATAAAACAGAGTAAAGGAAAGTTATGTGATCATTGCTTGATATGAGTTGGTGCTTAGCTCAAAATATGGCATTCGAAAAGTTCAATCATGAGCTTATTTTTCATAGAGAAAGAAAGAGATAGGCATGGGTAGGAGGGAGGCAGGATTTCAAGTTCAACAAGCAGAACTATGTTATGCTGCTGCAGCTAGATGAAGAAGAAGCAAAAACAATGCCAAATAGATTAAGGCTTTCCATTTTATTCCACCTTTGGTTCAAAATCTTCAGGCCCATAATCCGTTCCAGAAGAGCTTTGTACATTCATCATAATTGGGTTTAACAAGTTATTATAGTCTAGCCCAAAAAAGAGGTATTGGGCTTATTTATATCTTCATATAATCTTGTTGATTTAACTTGGCTAACTTAAAACTTATAGTTAAATCTCTTCTTGCCATTCAAAACAATTTTTTTTTTTTAACAAAGAAGGCCATGAACGTTTGCTCCATATTAGCCAAAAACTACTTTATTTCATGAAATTTTGTATGTTAACAAAGAATGGAAAATATTGGATTCATAAAACAAATTAACTAAATGGCATACCCCACTCCCCTACTTGTACCACAAATTTCCTAAGAGGAAACTTAAGCATGGTTAAGGAAACAAGAGCAAAACATTAAACTCATATGACAACTCACGAGAAGGTTTTCCGTTTCAGTTGGGAAATTCAAGTACTACAAGTATGCTTTAAACAAATATAATTTCATTGAGAACCAAAATAAGGTAGCAGGTAGTGTATGAGAAACATAAAAAGAACTCCCACCCAAAAGTCAAAAGTTTTCTTCTTGCATCGGATAACCAATGGCTAGGTTTGCATTGCAGCCAAAAAAGTATGTTCGCTTGTAATTATAGCATATTGTTGCTCTTCCCCAGGCCAAATAATCTAGACCACTTGACAGTTTTACTCCAAATTCAGTGATTCAACTGAAGACATCTCATTGTTCAAGGCATAGGATCAAATAACTTCTATAGGATTTAAAATACATATTCTATCATACACTCAAAAACAGAAGAAGTCAATGGTAGATTACACCATTACTTGAAGCACACACTAAAGTTAATTAACATGCAAAAATTTTTCCTATTATTAAATAAAAGAGAAAGCTTGTATCAATGGTTAATTATTGCAATAATCCCAAACATTGCTTCTCCAGGAAAAAAACAACAGACAAGAACCAAGTGATAGATATCCACCACAATTCCAGAGATAATCAGAAAGATTAAACAAAGAAATCAGTGACAAATCGTTGTATTAAAAAGGAGAAACAAACCTCAGTCATTTGTCTTTGTCCACAAAGCACTGCACCGGTGCCCTTAGGGCTATGAATTTGCTTGGCCCTAGCAAAGGCAGCCTGCAAAAGTCAATGCAGGTTGTGATAATTCGATTCTCACAGGATCAAACAATATTAAAACATGTGAATAGAGCACTCTACCTGTACATAGCCACTTTCACCAGTCCAACTATCACCAGGCTGTGATAGTACCGGCACAACCTTAACACCAGAAGATTCCCAATCTTTGAACCTATCCTATAATAGGAACAAACAAGAGCTTCAAAATCAAGCAGACAAGATTTGCTTATTCTAGAATATAGAAAAGTCTAACAAAGTGGACAATCAAGAACCAGACCTGGTAAGCCATTCTCCTAAGGTTTCTAGCCCCATAATAAAGCCTCACATCAGGTCTCTTATAGGCACCAAATCCTGACTCAATGAGAGATCGAATTGGACTGGACAAGAGAAAGTAAAAAGAACAAGTAAGCTACAAAAAAAGGCCTGCAGGAAATGTATAATAATAGGATTTTTAAATAGTACACAATATCAAACTGTATTGCCATTCGGAGATATCTATTGCAATCAATAAATCAGTTTACTGAGCAAAATAGAGAAAATGAAAAACAAATGAACAAATAGAAGCAACAAACAAAAACAAATGCACACTTTACAAGATCTACTCTTTCTTCCTTTTTAAATGCCAATAAGTGTCTACTAACAGAACTCTTCCAGATGCTTAAGATGTTGAAATAGAAAGAAGGTGATGGAACTGATCTTCTTCCATAGTAGGAAATGCAATGAAGAATGATCACCTTTGTGCATCACAGTTGCCAATAATAAAACAATACACAAATATTTCAATTTCTGTTCCAGTTCTCAAGAAGCGAGATTTACTGGAACTGAAAATGATTGTTCTGCAGTTAATATGATAAAAAAAATAGTAGGTTGGGGGAAGGGTGCATTAGTCATATTGACAGGGAAAGCTATTAATGCAAAGAAGAAAACAATACATAGAAACGATTCACATGAGCATGCAAATGCAGAAATCAGTGGCAATTACTATATCCATCTCTAGATATTAACCATTCAAAGCTTTAAAACACACATGAATGTTGATGAATTAAAGAATCATACATCATGGTATCATCAATGCAGTCTTCATGCTGTTGAATATGAATGACTATAAAGATTCAAACAGTTGGTTTAAGCTAAAAACCAAAATTAAAAAAAAAACAATATCAAACATGAAGTAGATACAAATTAGTGAGGGCAGGGTATTTTGTAAATGATATCAAATTGGTGAATTAAAAAGTATGAGCCCAAAACGCAGTACTTAGTGGTCAAGTTTCCATCCTAAAAGCATCAAACAACATTTTGTAAGACAATGTACCAAATGAAGATCCATACACCATTATGTGCAAAAAGAGAAATTCAAAGTGCACACTTTACAAGTTCTTCCAGAACCACTAAGCAATCCTGAAATTACTGTACAGAGAATTCTACTACCACAAATCTTTGACCACCTTAAGAGCAAGACCAGGGCTTTGCTCAAATTCAATGTAAGAATAAGAAAAAAAACCAGAGTACAAAATTTTCATACAAATTTTCACGTAATTTAGCATCTCAAATGTGAGAAGAATTCAAATGCTACAAGAAACAAAGCATGATAAAACAATAAACCTTCAAATTTTAAATTGAATTAATCTAAATACCGCATAAAGATTGGTTATTAAAGTACTCCAACAAAAAAACTAACCTGATTCCCGATCCAGTAGCGAAAATCAAAACCGTCGGATAATCCTCAGGCGGATCGATCTTATCAACATTGAAGCCATTTCCTATCACTTGACTAAGCTCCACCACATCCCCTTTCTTCAACGCGCACAAAAGCTCCGCCGTCGATCCTGCAACGCTCTTCACCAAAAACTCAAACACTCCACTCGCTGCCGCCAGTGACGGCGGAGATGCTATTGCCAGGAACGACGGTTTCTCCACGTCCGGGAGCCGCAGCTGGAGGTACTGTCCAGGAAGAGTATGTGAGGACGCTAGGTCCGGAGATTCCGACACGTCGATGCTAACGTGGAAGAGGGATTCGGCGGCGGGCTCGATTGATGAGATTGGGGTTGGAGTCCAGACGCTGGTGTCTTGGCGAACTGCGGCGAGAGTGGCGAATCGACGGCGGGGGAGGTGGTGGCGGAGGGTTAACGGGTGGAGGGGGAGGCGGCGCAGGATAGACATGGGAAGGAAGGAAGGTCTAGCGTGCGCATGGGGTAGAAAGGGTATAGAAACGGACATGGTTTAGGTTGGCGAAGGAGTATAAAGAAGGTTATGGCGGCGCGGACCGGAGAGAGTCAGTGATCAAGGTGAGCGGAAGCTCATGAGGTGGCGTTTGATAAAACGCGCCCTGAGCCAGTTTTGGAGCCTCCACGTGGCATATCTTCGGGTTGTGTGATCCTGTAATATTGGGGATAAGCAGTGGGGCCTCTTTATTTTAGTATTTTTTATCATTAGATTAGATTATATATTTATTATTTTTCGATAAAAGGAAGGTTGATGTTATTTTATTGTTTTTGGAAGTGAAAACAAAACACTACAGCTTAATCATTCAAGCGAGGCACACCGCCATAACATCATTCATCAACAAATCCCAACCTCCAACAAGAGGAAAATCAGAACTAATGAATTCTTCAACCAAAGAAAAACCTTGGTTAGCCATAAAGTCAACAAAGCATACTTTCTTGGAAGATTGGTGGAATCCTACCTTGTAACTAAAAGATAAAGAGTATTACCTTGAGAAACATGAAAAAAAAGACATTCATTGGCAAAAAAAGTCCATTTAAAGTCACTCATTCCTTCAAAAGTTTTATTACTCGTTTTAAACGATTTTATAATATCATAATTGATTTTAAGTTGAATGCTTTCAGATTTTTAGTTAATACAGACTATAATTGAATGTTTACCTTAAGAAACATAAAGAAAAAAGCATTCATTGGCAAGAAAAGTCCATTTATAGTCTCCTATTCCTTCAAAAGCCTTATTACTCACTTTAAATAGCTTTATAATCTCAAAATTGATTTTAGGTTCAATTGTTTTTTACATTATTGGGTAAAAAATATTATAATTGATTGTCTAGCTTGAGTAACATGAATAAAAAGATACTCATTGGCAAGAAAAGTTCATTTATAGTCACCCATCCTTCGAAAGCCATATTACTTGCTTTAAATGGTTTTATAATCTCATAATTGACTTGAAGTTGAATTTTTTTTCATTTTTGGTTAAAATAGACTATAATGGAAGGTTTACCTCCAGAAACGTAAAGAAAAAGATATTCACTAGCACAAAAAGTCCATTTATAGTCGTCCATTCCTGTAAAAGCATTATTACTCGCTTTAAATGATTTTATAATCTCATAATTGATTTTAAGTTGAATGTTTTTAGATTTTTGGTTAAAATAGACTATAATTGAATGTGTACCTTGAGAAACGTAAAGAAAAAAGCATTTATTAGCAAGAAAAGTCTATTTATAGTCTCCTATTTCTTTAAAAGCCTTATTACTTGCTTTAAATTATTTTATAATCTCATAATTGATTTTAAGTTGAATTTTTTTTACATTTTTTGCTAAAACAGACTATAATTGAATGTCTACCTCAAGAAACGTGAAGAAACAAGCATTCATTGACAAGAAAAGTCTATTTATAATCACCTATTCCTGCAAAAACTTTTTTACTCACTTTAAGTTGTTTTATAATCTCATATTTAATTTTAAATTGAATATTTTTACATATTTGGTTAAAATAGATTATAATTGAATGTCTACCTTGAAAAACGTGCAAAAAATCCAATCATTTAGAGGAAAAGTCCATCTATAGTCACCCATTCGTTTTAAAGGCTTATTCCTTACTTTAAATTGTTTTATAATCTAATGCTTGATTTTAAGTAAATTTTTATTGCATTATTGGTAAAAACATATTATAATTGAATGTCTACCTTGAAAAACATGAAGTAAAACACATTCATTTGCAAGAAAAGTCTATTTATAGTCATCCATTCGTTCAAAAGCCTTATTACACACTTTAAATGGTTTTATAATCTCATAAT